TAAACTACTCACTGGAAGAGCTGTCCACAGGCTGGGAAAGGGTTCAGTGGGTAACGTGCTTGTTGCCAGAACACATACAAAAGCAGGGTACAGCAATGTGAGATTCTGTGGTTCCATTAACCCTGTTGGGAGATGCCAGGATACTCTCCAAACACTAGCCCAATGGTTACCATCGGAGACCCTAGGTCAAACTAGAAGGGAGTGGGGACTAACACCCAAGGTGATCTCTATAATACATGAACATGCACACACACACACACACACACACACACACACACACACACACACACACACACACACACACTTCCTTGTTTATATTTCCTCCCTCGCTCCATGCATCTTTCCTTCCTTACTGTGTTAGATAGTATGACTGCTTACATTCTTTTTTTTTTTTTTTTTTTTTTTTAATTTTGACTGCTTACTTTCATCACTCAATAATATCATTAATCAGTCCCATCTCCTTAGGGCATCATGTTGTCACTCTGATTTATGGACAAAGGTAACATCACTCAGAGATACAGATCCTGGGGACTCAGGATGTCCTCTTTGGTGTGCTTTTATCTGTGTCTAGGGTAATTTTACTATGGCTGCGACCATATATCTTGCATTGCTGACGCAGTTGTTTGGAATGAAGTCTCAATTGCATGGTGCTTGTGAAGGCAGAAGAGCTGAAGGAATGACCTGTGGTGGATATAATGCATGGTACCCAGTGTTTATATATTCTTTCTGAACCTACAGGGGACGAAAACTGAAATACACTTTCCAGACTTCTCTGAATGTAGGTATCTAGAAGTGACTTCAGTTGCATCAGTTAGACAGGCACATGACCAAGCGAGGCAGGGCGCTCTCTGCTTTGGCTTTAACTTTGGAAGTCTGTTTCTGCATCCCCACACCGCAGCTTGTTTAGAGAACAGCATCAGTTATCTTCCTCTCCTGGGGTGGAGCATGCTTCTTATGCCAGAGTATGAATGAAATGACGAAGGTCCTGTACACAAAAAAGTTTTAAGAACTTTTTTTTTTTTTTTCAATCTGGGATCTCATATCTCCATAGTCAACTGCACGCAGCCTGGAAAATTCCAGAAAGGATACATTTTAAAGGGCATGCCATCCTGCCTAACTGGTGGAAACTCATGCTACCTTCTTCCTATGCAAGATAAGAATCAAATCACTGGATAGTCATGAGAAAAGAAAACTAGCCATGTCTCAGGTAGGGCTATCCTTTGTTTAGTGTCTCAGAAAGAAGGCATATAGAGCAGAGTCACAGTACACGTGCAGCTGCCAAGTAATTAGAGAGAAGCAGGATGCATTCTGGGATTCAAAGATTGTTATCACAGTGCACGGTAGCAAAGCTCACTGACGTGTCAATTCCTCATTCCCCAGGCTCATTCACTGCTTCCTATGTCTGTCTGTCTCTGTTCGTAGACAGCCAGATGAATAGGTAGATGGGTGGATAGATAGGCAGACAGATTAATGAGAAGTCTCTCGTCTAGGATTGCTTATACATTTCTGTGTTAGCTGAGGATGACCTTTCTTCTTGTGACAATACATAATGTCCCTATGATGGAATGGAGGTGAGTGACAGACACTGTGGTATAGCAGTGGATCATTATGTCAGGTACTGATACTACAACACACTATCTGAAAATGGAGATGGTTACTAAGTGACTATCCAGTGATTTCATTCTTATCTTGCATAGGAAAAAGGCAGCATCAGCTGATCCCATCAGCTGGCCAGATGGCATGTCCTTTGAAATGTATCCTTTCTGGAATGTTCCAGGTACTATCTTCAGTATCATTGAGTGCAGTTGACTGAAGCTATGGAAATGTGAGAGCCCAGATTTGGAGGAGCCATTGTAGATAATTACAAGTCAATGCATGCTTGCTGTTTTTAAGGGTTATGTTTATGTGTCTTGAGAAAAGTACACATCGGTATCCTTAGGCTTTCTCATTCATAGTGCATCATACTGCCATCTCAAAAGACACTCATTTCCTCATTTATATTTAAATAATCTATTAAACAGCATTTAAAAAGCCATAACACATGTTTTCAAATTATGACTGATAATCCGTGTCTATAACCTGGAAATGTTGTCAGTTCATTAGAAAAAGATGGAACCAAGAATGTTTATATTTTTGTGAATTTTTCATGGAGTACTATACATCTAGAAAGAAATTTGACCTATATTTTTACATACTCTTGGTGTTTTAAACTTTTTTTAGCAATTAATTTTTATTTTATTTCTAAAAGTATTGATTGGTGACTGAAATTAAAAGCCTAATAATCGTCTTTTCCACAGGCAAATTGAGAAAAACCAACCTAAGTTAAACACTAGACATTAACGTTGGAGAAGACTTTTAAGATTAACCCTTTAACATAATATATCTAGACTATAAATTGATTATTGTAAGGCTCTTGTATGCATGTGTGTGCAGTGTATTTATATGTGTGTGGATGGATATACACATGTGTGCATTTGGGAGCCAGGATTTGACATCCAGGGTCTTTCCCGGTCTCACGTATGTTTGTGTCTACTGTGTACACTTTTACAGAGGTGCTTACTCATGTGCACTGAGGACACGTGTGCCTTGGATGCGGCTGTGATAAACACCATGGCCAAAAGCATCTTGTGGAGGGAAGGGTGTACTTGGCTTAATCACAGTGCATCATTGAGGGAGGTCAGGAGGAAAGCCATTCACTGGCCTACTTGACCTGCTCAGCTTGACATCTTTCCAAGCCCAGACGCTGTTATTCTTATAAAAAGTGAGACAACTGAGCTTCGGGAAGTCTTAGGTTCATTCTTAGCTTTGTGACATAACAACCAACGTGTAAGATTAGGGATGCAGCAATTTAACTTTCAACTGGAACTAAAGTATTCTTTAAAATAATTGCTTGCCATCTGTTCTTGGAAAATGGAAGAGAACTAGGCAGTGGTGGTGCATTTGGGAGGCAGAAGTAGGTGGATCTTTGTGAGTTCAAGGCCAGCCTGGTCTACAAAATCGAATACTTGAACAGGTTCCAAAGCTAGAGAAACCCTGTCTCGAAAAACCAACCAACCCCCCCAACCCCCCAGTGTCCCCCCTGCCGCCAAAAAAAAAAAAAAGGAAAAGGAAAAGAAAGGCTAATTCTTTTGATGCCATTTGATGAACTGGCCTGATTCCATCTTGGGCCTGAAAACCATTTTACGTTAAAGACAAACTGGTTCATTCCTGTGTATGATTGAGTCTGTTTCTCAAGGATTGGACTGTGTCCCACCTGTAACCTTAACTACAACTGGTTCGATACTGCCTGTTCCAGGAGACAGCAACCATGCTTTCGTTTCAAAAGGTTGTCATTACTAAGTGTTGTTCGACCACCTTTCAGTCATGTCTTTGTTTCAGGAGGTTGTTATGACCAACTTGTTCTGCTTACGCTCTGCTTCTGTAACTCCACCTATTTGCCTGCCATAAAAACCTGATATCCCACACTTCCAAGGCTGATGTTTTTGAACCCCATCTTTAGGGTGAGACAGCTCCTGTACACAAATAAAAAGTTTGCTCTAATTAATTACTTAATTTGTCCACGATGATTTGGGTCAGTGGTCTTCGTCCTTGAATCTACAGGGTTAACAGAATCAATCACATATTCATTCATTCATAACTTTTCTAGTTTATGTAGAACACAATTGAGATGGGTTGATCTTGTGGGGCAATGTACTCACAGCCTATATATGCGCTAAAGGCTAGGTTGTCAACCGATAGTGTCACTGGGAGATGCGGGAATTTTACAAGGAGGGGAGTAGTTAGAGTCCCCTTTAAGATGGACTAGAGCCTTCCTCTTTGTCTCCCTCCATTCCTCCTTACTTCTCTTCTGGTCACCTGGAGATGAGCAGATTTTTCTACCATCCGTTTCCATCTAGCATGTTCTTTTATCACAGGCTCAATAAATGGAGTCTAGTGACCATGGACTGGAATTATTGAAACCACCAGCCCAAACAGATCTTTCATTAGGTATATGGTCACAGTAATGGAAAACCGGCACACAAACTATTTTCTTGGTCCTATAAATTAAGGTTTTCATGAAAAGAAATCAAGTGACTGTATTATATTAAATCTAATTTGCATCAGCATGACTATCTTAGCAAGGAATATTTTCAAAGACTCTTTTATTGCCAGAGATAATTTTTTACATTAATTTTTACCTCCCATATGTGTGAGGTGACTAAGGCGGAGTCACAATTGGAAACATTGCTAATTCTGTCCTCCTTGCGTCCTGCGTGACTGGAAGTCACTGGCGTTAACACTGCCCCTGTATCCAGTTCCTGTTGCCTTATCACATTGCGTCTGCACACCCCCGCCTGCTTTGCCAGGGGACCTGGAGGAGCACAGGATGCGGGGAGGAACGTTTGTGCTCCGTTTCGGAGCCCCGCGCCCAGCAGTGTTTGCGTCTGAGCCCTTCTGTGCACGGTGGGCCAGTTTCTCGGTCAGTCCCCGTCAGCCCTCCCTCCGTTGTCTGGGTTGGTGCTTCTCCGCGCCCACACACCCCAAGCCGCAGTGACCGAGCCCCAGGCCGCACCCCCCCCCCCCGCCTTTGCACGCCGGCCGGCGCGGGAAAGGATGGGTGCAAACGCGTTGCCCCTCCCAGCGCGCCCCCGGGGTAGCTACGATGCTGCAAACACCTTTCTCCTGGCAGCTGTCGGTGGCCCGTGAGGCCCGGGCTTTCTCGGCGGCTGCCGTTTGCACCGCCGGCTCCGCGCCCTAGGCCCGGCGAGTGCGGCGTAGACCGGGCTGGCGGGCGGACGCGCGCGCCTGCGCAGAGCTCCAGCCTCCGCCCCGCCCCGGCCGGCCGGCTCCCGCAGGGCGCATGCGCAGGGCGCGGCCTTCGGGCCGCGGCTCCCGGCAGCCCCCGCGCGCGGTGCATGCTGGGGGAACATGGCCGCTTCCGGTGTGGGGCTCGGGCCGGCGCGGGGCTGAGGGCGGCCGCGGCCGCGTGCGCTCCTCCCGCCGCGCCCCTCGCCCGCGGCCGCGCAGCGCTCAGCGGCCTCCCGTCCTCGCGCCATGGAGAAGAGCTCGAGCTGCGAGAGCCTCGGCGCGCGGCCCCCGGCGGCCCGGCCGCCCAGTGAGGACTCACTGTCCAGGTGAGGAGGGGAGGGGAGGCCGGGGCCGGGGGGGGAGGGGGAGGAGGGGAGGGGGAGTCCGCTGGGCCGCGGTGTGCAGTGCGGTGTGAAGGCGGAGATGCGGTTGCTCTATGTGAAGGTGGAGTTGCAGTTGCTCTATGTGAAGGTGGAGATGCGGTTGCTCTATGTGAAGGTGGAGATGCAGTTGCTCTATGTGAAGGCGGAGATGCGGTTGCTCTATGTGAAGGCGGAGATGCAGTTGCTCTATGTGAAGGTGGAGATGCGGTTGCTCTATGTGAAGGCGGAGATGCAGTTGCTCTATGTGAAGGTGGAGATGCGGTTGCTCTATGTGAAGGTGGAGATGCAGTTGCTCTATGTGAAGGTGGAGATGCAGTTGCTCTATGTGAAGGTGGAGTTGCAGTTGCTCTATGTGAAGGTGGAGTTGCAGTTGCTCTATGTGAAGGTGGAGATGCAGTTGCTCTATGTGAAGGTGGAGATGCAGTTGCTCTATGTGAAGGTGGAGATGCAGTTGCTCTATGTGAAGGTGGAGATGCAGTTGCTCTATGTGAAGGTGGAGTTGCAGTTGCTCTATGTGAAGGTGGAGATGCAGTTGCTCTATGTGAAGGTGGAGATGCAGCTGCTCTATGTGAAGGTGGAGATGCGGTTGCTCTATGTGAAGGTGGAGATGCAGTTGCTCTATGTGAAGGCGGAGATGCGGTTGCTCTATGTGAAGGCGGAGATGCAGTTGCTCTATGTGAAGGTGGAGATGCGGTTGCTCTATGTGAAGGTGGAGTTGCAGTTGCTCTATGTGAAGGTGGAGATGCGGTTGCTCTATGTGAAGGTGGAGTTGCAGTTGCTCTATGTGAAGGCGGAGATGCGGTTGCTCTATGTGAAGGTGGAGTTGCAGTTGCTCTATGTGAAGGTGGAGATGCAGTTGCTCTATGTGAAGGTGGAGATGCAGTTGCTTTATGTGAAGGTGGAGTTGCAGTTGCTCTATGGCCGATGCCCTCCCCATCCCTGCTCCCGTGCGGCCCGTGGAGGTTGCTGCAGTTGTGTTTAAGGACTCAGCGTTTTCTCTTGAAGGCGCTCTGTTATCACCCTTCTGCCCTCGCTGTCGGGAGCCAGCACATCGCCAGTGGCTTTGGAGACATTGATCACCCTTCTGCCCTCGCTGTCGGGAGCCAGCACATCGCCAGTGGCTTTGGAGACATTGAGAAACAAGCGTGTTTAGGATTAAACGCCCTCCCACAGTCAGTCTCTTGGCTTAAACATCAGTAACATTACCAGCATGATGTGCATCGTATGTGATGTCTGTCTGGGACACTCTTTAGCTGTAGGTAATAGGTCATTCCAAAAACGTGTTAGCTTAAGTTTCATGTAGGCAGACAGTCACAGGTGATTCTCGTGTGCAGACAGGGTTGACTTGTTTCTACTAGTGTACTTCCGAGTTTTGTTTGGTTAGCTAAAGGGTACAGGGTAGTGCAAGCAAAGTGTCGATATTTGAGTATGGTAGCTCAGCTTTTGCTGACCTGTCACTCTGAAGTTTCTATTTAGAGTTTGAATAAATTGTCTTATGAATTTGCTTTCATATACTCTACAAAATAATCTTTAACACTGCCTAACGTATCACAATGTCTTTCACCAAGTAGATGGTAATTTGAGTACTGTTGCCTAATGTATGGCACAATTTCTTTCACCCAGTGGAGTGATAAATTGAGTACTGCTTAACATTGTTTTTGGTATGTGTGCTTGTATGACTTTATGTGTACCACATGTGCGCAGGAGCCCAGGAGGTCAAAGGGGTGTCGGGTTCCCTTAAACTGCAGGGACAGGCAGCTGTAGCCCTCAGGTGGGTGCTGGGAACTGAACCCTGGTCCTCTGCAAGAGCAGCCAGTGCTCTCAACTGCTGGGCATCTCATCAGCTCTGACTTACATTTCTATTGAGTTTAGCTACAAGGAAAAGTATACAAAAAAGCATTGCTTCTGATTGTTGGAAAACAGAAACTATTTCCTCAGCTTAGCAAAAAACTTCAAATTTGATAAAATACTAATCTCTGATGGTCTTAAATGCTTCTATTATGAGATGAACTTAATTCAATATTTTGTTTGAACAGTTGATAGTATATTTTTGTTCTTCCTGGGAAGAATATAAATATAAAAATGAACACTGTATCTAGTTACAGGATCCATTTATTTATTTATTTATTTATTTATTTATTTATTTATTTATCTTGAGACAGAGTTTCTCTGGAGCTTTAAAGCCTATCCCAGACGGAATCCTCTCTGCAGGCCAGGATGACCTCGAACTCACAGATCTGTCTCTCTCTGCCTCCTGAGTACTGGGATTCTAAAGGTGTATTGTCTTGATGGAGTGTATGAGTCCTTTTAGAGTTGTGCTGGTTTAACATTGCCTTCTGGGTCAACATAGATGCGATACTGTTGGCTTTAAAAGGCCTGGTTATTTTTTCTTTATTAAGATAGTTTGTAATCAATGGCAGAAAGCAGTGTGTGTGTGGTGAATCTTGCATTTTATTGCCCTCTGTAGGCGGCTCTTGCATAGGTGTTGGGACAGACTAGAACATACTGGTCACCCAGCGGTTTCTTTAACTTTGGTTTTGTTGGTTTTACTCTGATTCTTGGTGTAAGTAGGACTCTGTGGAATAAATAAATCCCTGCCGTAGGCCAGTTGTGAAGAATCGGGTAGACCCGACCTTCAGCAGCATACTGTACTATCTTCCCGCCTTCATCTGGCTCCCATCTTGTGGACTGTGGACTGTAGATGCACTGTCTGGGTAGCATTCCCTGGCGCCCGCTTTAACAGTGTGTCGTCAGACGGTAAGATAGGTGCTCTGAACTGTGGGACATGTGGGACATGGCGGCTCTTCCTTGTCCTTTGCCCTTTCGTCCTCAGCTTGTATGTGAGCCACAGGCACCATGTGTGGCCTTTATTGGCCGCACTCTCTTTTCTGTGTGGCCCCTCGTTGTGTCCTCCTGACCTAGTTTGTCATCTCCTAATCTTGATTGCTTTGCCTCCCTGTTCTCTAATTTTCCATGCCGGCCATTTTAATGTGTCCTATGTCTTCATCGTGTGTTGTTGTGCTGTGCTCACTCTGGGCAACACTTGCTTGGCTCTGGCTAGTTTGAGTTTTATCAGTTGCTTTGTAGTTGAAAAATAATTTCGCATGCATGTTCCATATTTATGCGTAACTTTCATTAACACAATAAGAGGATGCACACATGCTGAAGGTCATTCACAGCTAGTGATTTCTTTTTTTTTTTTTTTTTTTGAGAAAGGCTCACTGTGTACCCCAGTCTACCCTTGAGCTAAAAGATTTCCTGCCTTAGTCTCTTGAGTGTTGTAATTATAGGTGGGCCCTATCTCTCCTACCCTTCAACTTAATTGCATTTTTTAAATTGCACGTCTTTCTTAAAATTATCATCATTTGAAAATAGTGAGCCCTGGGTTACTGTTTCTGTGAATTTTAATTATAATCTTAGAGTTTTCTGGATGCCTGTGCAAAATTTCATCTGTAGTTTTAGCTTCAAGGTCATTTGAAAGTGATATATTGGTCGGCAGCGTGCTTCCAGGTTTTTCCAGTAGTGATGGATTTATGTACAATCGCATTCTTACCCATTCACGCTGTGACTCATGTGTTTTCTGAGGCCTCGCTACAGCCAGTACTAGTTACAGCTTCAGGACAGAGTGACTGTCTGGTTGATCGTCTGCCTCCCTTGGCACTACTGGCACCGCGTCAGGCGCTTACAGTCAGTGGTGATCTAAATGTTATTTTGGAATTCATTATTTCTAGACCCTGAAAGAACTTTTAATTTCTGTGTACGGCCCAATAGTATTATGAACTTACCAGTATTCATTACCAACATTTTAAAAAGCCTGATTACTATTCAAAAGTATGACATTTAATCCTGAAGCTGAGATTGGATCCTGTATGCTTTGTTGTTGTGGTGGTTGTTATTAAATCTCATCTTTAAAAGAAAATTTCTGAATATTTATTATTTTCAGTTGTAAGTAACACAAGTCAAAACTGCAGACTCTAGGACTTTTTCTAAAAATAGGGGTCCTAATGTAATGCGTCACAACAAGATACATTTATAAAAATCTTATAATGGAGAAATTATGTGAGAACACAAACCTGCATTATGCCCAAGGGAAGGAAATAACTCTGGGGTGCACAAGGTCCAGAAGGCAGGAAGTTTATTTTGGAAAGCTGCCAAGTTAGTGCTATTGTATTAAAAACCATGAAGGCTAAGGTTGCATGTGATTTAGGGTTTTGCACAGTGGAAATTCTCCTATTCTCGTGGGGAACATTTTCCACTTTCAGGGAAAATATCTTTGAACGTGTAAGTACTTGTTATCTTTATGCCATGTAATTAGGTTAAATAGGTGGCTGAATCTCCTAAAGAGATGCTAGTCAAGGACCTGGGCTCTAGGAAGTTTCGGATACTCAGAGTACAGGGGCGCTGTGCAGGATGCCCTCCGAATGGACTGTCGTCATTTCAGCCCCTTTCCCGCAGCTCTGTGACACTCAGCTAACTGCGTATCTTCCAGATTGCCTCAACCCTGGAGACCACTGAAAGAAAAGCTGCACGGCTCTTCCGTGCTAGGTGCACGGGACTCGTGGTAGGAACCGCGTTCTTTCACAGACTTGCTACTATCAGTATCCGTGAGCTCTTTGAGTACTTTTAGTCCAGATTAAATTACAGCAGAGACTGGGCTTTAAATATAAACACTTAAAAATATGTTTAATGTAATAATAACCTCCCACACACACAAAATCTAAAACTGGTGTGTGAGAAATTCCTTTTTTTTTTTTTAAGGTTAGGTTTTGTGTGTGTGCAGCTGTTCTTGCCTATCTCTCTCTCTCTCTCTCTCTCTCTCTGTGTGTGTGTGTGTGTGTGTCTGTGTGTGTGCACACACACACACGAGTCCACAGCTGTATTTCTTTGTGTTTATGGATGATGAAGGTGATGAAGGTCGATTTTGGATGTCTTCCTCTTGTCCT